CTAGGCACCATGACAATGCCAAGACAGAAGCATTACAGGAGGAGCTAAAAGCTGCACGAATGCAGATCAACGAGCTGAGTGGCAAAGTCATGCAACTCCAGTATGAGAACAGAGTCTTAATGTCCAACATGCAGCGCTATGACTTGGCCTCTCATCTTGGGATCCGTGGCAGTCCTAGAGACAGTGATGCGGAAAGTGATGCAGGAAAAAAGGAGAGCGATGATGATTCCCGCCCTCCTCACCGCAAAAGGGAAGGCCCCATAGGTGGGGAAAGTGACTCTGAAGAGGTGCGCAACATTCGATGCCTGACACCCACAAGGTCTTTTTATCCAACACCATCTGGGTGGCAGAAAAGCTTCACTGACAGGCAGCAGATGAAGGACATTCGCTCTGAAGCCGAGCGGCTGGGCAAGACAATAGATCGCCTAATTTCTGACACGAGCACCATCATAACAGAGGCACGAATTTATGTAGCTAATGGTGATCTCTTTGGACTCATGGATGAGGAAGATGATGGCAGCAGAATACGTGAGCATGAGCTTCTTTACCGCATCAATGCGCAGATGAAGGCCTTCAGGAAAGAGCTCCAGGCTTTCATTGACAGACTCGAAGTTCCAAAGTCTTCGGACGATCGAAGTGCAGATGAACCTTTGTCAGTGAGTCAGGTAGACTTTTACTTATTACGGCCTACAGGTAAAAAGGCTCTGCCATGCAAATTAAGCCTCAAATTCAATTTATGGCACGTGAAAATTCTTTACTCTAGGCACTGGACCACAATCACTATTTCTCAAATTACTTAAGATCCCTATTTGGCCATATAAAAACATGTTCTACCAATAGAATTGTTTGTGAACAGTGAATAAGTCTGGTCTACTGGAAATTAAAATTATGTGCTAGGAGGTAGAAGATTTTACTCCTTTCTGGCTTTGCAACTGCATTTTGACAGAGTTGTGCCTTCATTGCCACTAAAGGCAGTACAGACGGTATTTCTGGCACACGAATGAACATGGTTGTTTTCTTAGTGGTTGGTTTCCTGTTAAATGGATAAAAGGAAAATTTTATTAATTTTAAACAGGAAGAATCAATAAATTTCAGAAATTATAGAGAATATGGCAAACCGCGGATAAAAAGAAATCATGTGAATCTACTTTATGGAGTCACAGAGCCACACAGTAGTGTGAATACTGGAATTGCTGTAACTGATTGCATCTTGTTGAAGGCCTATGGGTCACTGCTTGCATGCAGCAGTGACAAGAATCTTTTTTGTGGTTCATTTTTGTGCAGAACTGTCTCAGAGAGGTTTTGGGGAGCAAATTCCTTGCTGACTCAAGATCTTTTGCCATGAAAAATGAAAATTACCAACTCTTATCTTATCATGCAGTCCTATAGTTGGCATATCTTGTTATTGCTCATGGAATTACCCAATGTTTTGTAAGTCTCTTGCTGTGTTAATTTATTTTGTGCTGTCTTGCTAGTTTACAGTCAAAGTAGTTGCCAGGTGAAGCTGAAAGCTATTCTTATTCCTATGCTGACTAATTAGTCTTTTGTTCCCTTGTATCAGAAAGTCACAGACGCAGTGAGTTTAAAGCTAATCAATTACTATACATGTATTGCATGAAATCAAACAGAGACGGCATTTAGCATGCTCACTTTCTGATCTAGCAATAGCTCTGAGCTTGTAGAGCTCCCATTAGCTTAAAGGTAGAGCACTGCATGGACTTACACAAATTTAAAGCAAACTAATTAGTATTTTCTCTAAACAAGTAACAACAATTAACATTTAACAATTGGACATTTTAGGGCATAACCATGCAGAACTCCTACTGAAGTAAATGGGAGATGGGCACTTGGTCCCTCCACAAGCATAGTCTGATTCACTATTTATTTTGTTGAAACTTTGGACTTGCTATTCCATTAATTGACTGTTCTTTTTGTCTTTGTATTTACTTTCCCAGATGTTCCAGCCTATCATTTTACTTATTCTCATCCTTGTATTATTTTCATCCCTTTCATACACAACAATATTTAAACTTGTCTTCCTTTTTACACTGTTTTTTGTACTGTAAGCCATTCATCATTTACTGTTCATTGTAGTGTTATTTTCAGTTTGTTTATTTTGTCCACCCTCCAAGATAAGAAGTGAGAGACATAGTTTTTGTAATAGCCACTGCTGTAAAAACACTGAAGACTACTTGTTTGCCAAAACCAAAAGAAAACCAAAAAAGCTGCAAAAACCATACCAAAAAGTCACCCAGTTGAATAGGAAACCTGCTCACCACAGTGTTCCAGGTAAGCAAACAGACAACGGTATTTTTCACTTTCTCTGGTTTTATCATTTTTGGATAAAAGTTTCCTGGGTGACTGAAACCATTTTAATATTTATTAATTTGCACCAAATCTGAAACAAAACAGAAATATGCACAGTGGGTGTGAAGACTCTGTTACTTTTCTCTTCCCACTCCCAGAAACAGAATTTGTATTCTAGCCACATATGAATAGTAAAATCGCATTCCATGTTTATTCTGCAGTTGTATATCACAGCTTGTATATATGTTTTGCATGACTGTGATGATGATGTTTTCCAAGACTGTATTAACATGGATTAGACACCCTGGAGGGGACAAAATCAGAATGCTTGGTACATAAAGCACTCTGGAACTGTGTCTAGGAGCTGGAGCCCCTGAGAATGAGATGCTTGAGGAGGAGGTATCAGAGTAGTTTAGGAGTCTTCAGAGAGATACGGGCTGGCTGCATTTCTCTCTATGCTCTAGAAAAATGGCCACGCTGGAGTCTAACTTGAACTGATGAGAGTGATGTAAGACACCTTGTCTCATGTTGAATTTATCAGATAACATTTCCCAGTCTGTAGCTACCACAGCTTTACATTCTCCAGGTTTCAGAACGAATTTTGAATGAACATGGTAACTCTTGGCTTGCCGAGTGACCCCATCTAACCATGCTGTTGGTAGCCAACCACCATAGGTGAGGGAAGCTTGTGTGCATAGGTCTGCATCAATAGTCACTGAATATTCCTGTCTTGCTTATGAGAGGCTGAATTAAGAATACAGGCAACTCATTACCTTTCTTTCACACTTACATGGGCTGTTCCTACAAACAGTAGATCTCCCACTGTGAAAACCTCATCTGAAATGCCCAACGGGGCTCAGTTCTCTTTTCTGTTTTATCCAGCCTATGTTGAAACCATTAAGTCCCGCAAATGTGAATTCTCCAAAGGTGAACAAGTATGTGTATTAATGACATTTTTTTCTGCAGTTGCCATGTTAAATAATCTAATAATGAATAGTGGTAATAAAAAAAGCAGCTAGCAATAAGGATTCCCTTTGACTTATGCTAGCACTTTGTTCACTTAACCCATTCCCAGTGAGAAAGGTTCATCTCCACACCTGAGTTGTGCTCTGCTACTTGTTGAGAGACTCCGCTTTGAGAGAAAATCCTCGAAGGGCAGCAGAGGTGGAGCAATAAAATTTATGTTTTTAAGAACAAAAAAAAAAGTAAACTCAAAATATTTGGTATTAAACAAATATTGTATTTTTCTCCTTGTTTGTCTAGCTTTCCCTCAGCATACTTTGCAGGTGTAGTAACCTTATAATTTAAATTATTGACCTCTTTGATTTAAATACTTATTACTGCCAGGGGATGCTGTCATTATCTATTTTATACTTAGCAAGATATGTCTAAAGGAAATTAGAATCAATACATATGAGATAATTAGATAGCCTTGACTGGTGACCCAAATAAAAAGAAAGTCAGGCCCAAAGTAATTTTGAGGAGTTTCTAAGCTGCTTTCATATGTGTTCAGACAAGAGATGGAGCTAATCTCTGCACAAACACTGGCAGTTACAACCCCATTGCTTTCTCACAGTGCTTTTTTCTTACATATAGCTGAACATTTCCTAGGCCTAATTCCATTGGGCAGCAACAAAACAAATCAAAGCTGAGACCTTTTGAGACATTTAGGGAGCTATTGCACAGGCTACAATCTGAAATAAAAGCACACCAAAGTATACAAAATTATTTTAGAAGTTCCCCACAGTCTTTGACTCTGTGACAAGCATGGAAAATGATGAGGAGCCCCACAGAGAAATCTCAGTGAGAAATGAGATGTGTTTTTCCTGTCTTTTTTCATTCTCCTTGAAGGCGGGAACTGAAGTGGCTTATCTGTTTCACACCAGATATTGCATAATTTAAAAAGTTGCTGAGAAAGCTAATAAAATGTGTATGAAATTTATTCTTCGCCAGAAGACAAGATCTAGCCAAAGAAATAAATGTTCTGTCTTGCTAAATTGAACTTAGTGTTACAAAATGCAGCAATTATACTTGCAAGAAAGAAAGCAGACTCTGCTCACTCATTTACTGGCCTGGTGGGCAAAGACCACTTCACAGGTGAGTGAATAGATGCAGCTGAATACATCAGAATCCTCTAGCAGGAATGCAGGGGAGTCAGGCTGGGCAGAGACAGACAGAATACTGCTGATTCACTGATTCTGCCTGCTGCATAGCTTGTAATTCTGAAGAGCAATTATAAGAAGAGTACAGATTTTAGTTGCATCTGGCAAAAAGCTGGATATGCCAGGTTACCTATCAGTTCAGGTCTCACTTAGCAGATTCACGGTTCCCATTTTGTAACATTCTGGGAAAAAAAAGTCATTGAATTTGAACCATGAGATTGCCTTAATTTAACATTTCTCTGAAATATTACTTTCTGTTTCCTGTGTTCCCAAGGAATTAATTCCATGTTCTTTCAAAAGGAAAAATCTTTCATCTAGAGGTCTCGTTCTGACATTTTTACATTTGTGTAAATTGGCAGTAACTCCAATGAATTTTTATGTAATTTAGGGAAAGATGTATTTTTTCCTTTAATGCAACCAGATAATTGTATTTGTTTTCTATTTAGAGCCAGCTCTAAATGCTCTGACAAAATCTCTCTGCAAATATTTTCTTTACTGCTACTGAAAAATTCCCTTGAAGTTAGAATGATCATCTTCTCTAGGATCAGAGATATTTCTTTCAACCAAGAATATCCATGCCTGAAGTTCCAGTTTAGAGATAGAATAAGTGTCTGCTGACACATGTCACCAGTGTTTCAGAATCAAAACCAGAAGAGAGCAGGTGCTATAGTGCAGAAAAACGCCTGGCAGTCGGAAAATAGAAAATTGCCAGAAACATGGCTGTCTAGATATGTGTTATAAAAAAAGATGAACTGCACATGAACTTTGGGAGTTGTTTACGAAAACAAGCAGAGCTTCAGGGTATTACATGCCCTTTCCCTTAATCACCCCAGAATCTGATAGGTGAGTAGGAGACTTCTAAAGGCATCAGTATCACGGACATAGTTCCCATTGGCTTACATGCCTGTCTCTGATTTAATGCCAGGGGAAGTGATATTCAAACCCAACTTTTGCCATTACACATGCAGTTGCCTATGAGGAAAATTACAGTGGCTCTATTTAAAGTAAACATCTAAACTATCTGCCACCGATTTCCAATGTAACCTTGGAGAAGCGACATGACATAACATGTTGTTTGCTCTGTTTCTCCACTGAGTTATGTTACTATCTCAGAAGTGCACAACAGTAAGAGGAGACAGAATTTTTACTCCCTTCTGCCAGTTTTGTGTATATATATACCAATTGTATATATCCACTCCTGAAATGTATATACCAAGATTACCAAGATGTCCATCATTCAGGAATCTAATGTTGTGGATGGGTTGACTGCAGTGACAGCTGTGCTCTTCCTTCTTGTCACTAGTTTATGTTGCCATAGCACAATGGGTGTGCCATAATCAAACTAGTGCAGCAGAACCGAAGATGCTCTGAAACAGTCTTGAGCACCGACTATTGTAACCAGAATACACACTACCCTGAGTATGTAATCAGATTATAGCCCATGCTGAAACTCATGCTGCTTTGCCTCCAGTCCTGCATGATGAAGAGAAATTTAGCAGAGGGCCTGTTTAAAATGCCCTTGCACCTTTTGTTTGTTGAGGTGATGACTTATGACACAAGTAGAGCTGATGCCAGATACAGACAAAATATGCTTTCCTGAGGAAGCAATGTGTTGAATGTAATAAATCTTCCTGCTTATTTTACCTGTGCCAGAGGCCAGAAAGTCGCATCTGCTGCTTTGGCCCCTGCTGCTGGAGAAGAGACAGTAGGGACAATTTTTGTTAAATAACTTCTTTTCCTCAAAAGCAGAAGTCACTACTGCTACACTTAAGGGTATATAGAATAATGATCCCAGGTTTTCAGAACTCACTCCGTGTTTTCTTTGTCTCAATTTTATTCTGCCTTTCCCATATTAGAATGAGTTTAATGTGGCCCTTTGACCTATGAGATGGGTCCAGTGCTTGTCTCCTAATGAGCCCTTCAGTCTCACACATTTCTAATTCTTCACACTGACAGAAATGTAGGCCTTTGCCTGAGTGAAAACTCAAGCCTGGGATTTAATCCATTGTTTTCTTTAATTTTACTCCTTTTACTTCAAAGAGTTCACACAGCGAGACTAGAGGGATTGAGTTAGCAATATTAAAGAATAATAGCCTATGCTGACGGATAAGAGTAAAAAAACATGTCTTAGGAGTCTGTCTTCATGTGCAGTGGTGCAGCTGTGCTGGCTTCGGGGAGGAGGCTCAGCTGTGGCACCTGGCCTCCAGCTGTGAGCTCAGTTCTGCTCCCAGGCACTCCAGCTTCACCCCCAGCCATGTCAGCTGGTGTTTGGGTCCTAATGTCACAAAAGAAAGTCACACTGTTGCTTTATTTTTTAAATCCTCAGAGTTTAGAGTCTGGGGATTTTCTTCAGGAACATTCAGTCGAGTACTTGGGCATCTTTGTTCAATTTTTAAATCATCTTTAAAATTTTCACAAACATCCCAAGTCCCATTATTTATGTTACATAGGAGCAGAATAAGCACCCCAGTAATGTATTCACTGAGACTTACTGCTAGACCATATAAGGAGAAAAAATGTGTTTTCCCTGAAACCTGATTTGGTATTTACTATAAAATGCACCCAGAGCTAAAATCTTTATACTGTGCATGGATTTTATCACAGATAAAAACTTACTGTTCTAAAGACGAGAGTGCTGACTAAGCAAAGGTTGTGTGAAACCTCATATCATGCCCTTTGTCTCACTGATCCTCCTGTCATCAGCTGCTCTGCCCACAAAAATATATGTCACTCCTGCTTAGTGCATTTGAAGACACCCATCTGATAGCAGGATTTATCCAGTTTTATGCTGCCTGAGTCAAGTATTTTGGGGCCCTTCTCTACGTACATGTGGGGAAAAATGTTCTCTGAAATGCGAATTTACTAACTGTGCCTCAGTCACTGTCCACAAACACATCCAAGCACAAGTACCCAGCAGGGCAATGGTATGTGTGTGTGAAGCTTCCACCCAAGGATCTCTCTCAGTTGCAAAATGAAAGCAATTTAACATACAATGCAACAGGAGAGTTGTGGGCAGAGACGGGAAGAGTGAGCTGGGCTCCTTGTGCCTGTGGCTCAGCAGGGGGAGCAGCTAATTTTCACCATGCTGGCTTCAGAGTCTCCTGTGGACTTAGACTTGCTGGATCATTTTTGTCACATACACTCCCTTACCTTGCCCCATGCCAACACTTGCTATGGGCACTCCCAGTGATTTATATCCAAACCAAGGTGGTTTTGTACCTTCCTTACCAGACTTATGCCAGAGATGAGTTTCCTTGTGAAAGGGAGACTCTCCACCCAATTTCAAGTGCTTTGCTTTGCTGAGACACCAAGTGTCTTAACAGACTAGAGAATCTGATCCAGAAACCTTATAAAGCATCGGGAATATTTGGGTATATACCAAAGAAACCATTATTTTCATTCCCAGAATGCAAGACAGTAGGATTACACAGTGCCTAATAATTCCACACTTCATAAGTAAGAGCATATTTAGAGTACAGAAAAAGATTTTAGAGAGGAGTGGTTTGCTTTAAGCTCTTTAAGATAGCTGTTAACTGACAAAACCTTTTGTTGTTGTTCTGCTACTTTAAACAAAACTCCCTTTAAAAAGCAGTTTATGAGGATCAAGTTGCAAAGCTCAAAATAATCGTACTGAAAAATAAAACCCTGAAAGCAGGGTCTGGAAAACAGCAAAAAATCTGGACCACAATAAAAGAAACCTAAAATTGCCTATTGTCATAGCTTTAATATTAACACTATCTGCTTTGGCAAGCTTTAAAGACTGGACTGCACTATAAAACCTAAAAATGTCCTGGACTTGGAGTTGTTTACACAAAATATGAAGAGATATAAAGTTACAGAGCTGGGGGCTGGAAGAGGTGGCTTTAAAGCCATCCTCCATGCACTGACGTCACGTGGAAGCCAGCTGCAGGGATGATGCTGAACGGAACTGTTTTTCAGTTTGCAGAAGTTGAGGAGTTATTCAAAGAGAGTTACAAATACTGCCCCAGTTGAAAGGTTGTGTCTTGCTCAGCTTTCTTATTTCTTTTAAAGATCAAGATTCGCAGAACTGGATCCCTGCTAGTTATGTGTTTCATTGCTTTCACTGCTGCTTAGAAATGGACAGAGAAACTTCTAAAGGATTTCTTATTCCATGAAAGGTATGGTTGCAGTTTATTTTAAATTAGTGGTTTTGAACACTCTAGATTAAAAAAGAAAGCATATTACTGATGCAGCAAACAGTTATTTAAACATCTAATGTTATTTATGTGTAATGTGATGTTCATGTATGTTATATATGGTCTTTATTCTTAGAGAAAGACTTCATTAGTTCAGTTAGTTTCTTCAGTGCAGGCAGAGATATATTAACAGAACAGGAATGACGGAGCATTGTGACCACTTGTCTTTCTTTTTCTTTCCTTCCTTCTTTCCTTCCTTCTTTCCTTCTTTCTTTTTCCCCTTTCTTCTTTCTTTTCTCTTTTTCTTTCTTGCTTTCATTCTTTCTGGCTCTCATTTCTCTCTATTTCTTGTTTCTTTCCCTTCTCTCACTCAACTGTACTTTCTTTTTATGGATAAAGCACACAATATTGTGACACATGGCACATGATTATAACTGAACAAATACATATGTTTACAATTTTCTTAGTCATCCAAAATACAGCACTTTGTTGGAAATATAATTTAATTTCATTTTTTTCTGTAAAAACAAGGGAAGATTTGTGTCTCTGAATGGTTGTGTACATCCAATCTAATTAAAATCTGTTGAAAAGTAACATCTTGGCTGATGTCAAAGAGATTATTTTCAGAAGTTGATAGAGGTTGTTTGCAAACTATTTTGCATTTTTAAAATGTGGTTGGAAAGGGAATGGGTATGATATGAGGGAATAATGACTAACATCAAATTGTTGCTTAAAACATTTTTTGCTTGAAAGGAGGAAGGACTAAAGGAAAATGCAGCTGATGTAGACAAAATTGATTATTTGCTTGAATTTGACTGCTGTAATGAGCTTCTGACCTTGTCTAGGACATGCAGAAATTGCCAATACTGCAAGAGCACAGATACTGTTCTGATCTACAGAGCAAATTATAATGTGGCATTTTACATGCCTTTGCATTGCTCAAGCCACATGAAATACCCATGGGGACATCTTAGTGCACTATACAGACAGAGGCATACTACCAGGACTGCATATTGGATTTTACTGCTAGTAGGGGAAAAAGCAAGCAACACCCCCACCCCAAAACAAAACAAAACAAACAGAAAAAAAAGGGGGAAAGAGATGCAGAAATAGGAGTTAAAACTCTCTGAGGAACTGATCCACTGTACAACAGGAGCAAAACTGTATAGTCATTCAGCTGCTAACATCAATAAACGTGTTTTTTTCTCAGAAAAATTCTCAGAGGAAATTGTAGAAGTGTAAGAAGCAATACAAGCTTTTTGTGAATCTTAGAGCTACAAGTGACTATCTGTAACTTCTGTAACTAACCTCTTTCAAGACTTGATTTCCTTCTCATGGTCTCGTCTCTTTTTATAATCGGAGTTCCACATGAAAAAATTAAAGATTGTTAAGATTAATGCAAACATGGCAATAGTACTAAGAAAACACCAGGGGCCTTTTCAACACTATATTCATGCTTTAAAGGAGTACATATTATATCTATTCTTATATGTGTAAAAATAGTATGCTATACAGTATTGACCTTTCTAGTAATATGCTGCTGATTAAAGTATGGTCATTATTACTATGAGTACACTAGCAAAAATCACCATTTGTGCAAATTGTTGACAGATTATGTCTGCCTGTCTTATTCATGATTTCACAGCATTTACACATGGAGTTTTTAAAATTTTTTTCTGAGATGTATTTGTGTAAGGTTTATAGTGGAGCAGAGTTTTATTTATTTCTCAGAGATATCTTGAAAGGTTATAAAGGCATAAATGTAGCCAAAAAGCTAACGACTGTACTAAAAATTGCAATCTTTGAATTAGCAAAGTGAGAAAGTATGGAAATGTTTCTAAAGTTCATTATCAATAGATGTTTAGACTGCAACAGATCTTAAATGCAATAGAGTTTTTTTACAAGTTGTTTTTGGTCAACACTTACTGAAGTCTGGCACAAAGCTGAAACGCTGGCCTGGAGAGGTGCAGCCTCTATAGCCTGGCTGCATTCCCTAAGAAGCCGGGAGCAAACCAGCGCTTGGCTTCTCTTGTGATGAGAATGCTGTGCTGTCTTTCAGCAGGTCTTAGTTTCAAGGAGTTTCATGTTTTTATGAAGCTGCCCTGTATGTTTTTGGGCAGGGGAAAGACGGAGGGTTTGAAATCTGTTTGTAGACAGTTGAGGGACAGATTGCCATTTCAGAGGCCCAAGAACAGGTGCTTGGGGTAAACTGTTTTGCAAGCCCTGACTGAGGATTGGGCCCATGATGGCTTGAGAGGTCCTTTGGGAGGACTAGCTATGACCCAAAGACCAGAGTAAACTGTTGGGTTTCATCTGAGCTCTTCTGCTTGTTCACGAAAGAGTCTTATTTCAAGTTTGGCATCATCTTCCCAGTGAGCTGAAATAACACAGACACTGGTAAATGGTGATTACACAGTAGCCACAGCTGAATCAACAAGACTTGTCCAATAACATATAGGATGGGGAAGAACTTTGTGTGAAGCTTAGGAATAAATTTGCACTGTATCATAGAAATGAAATGCAATGAAATGAGCAGTTCCTGTGAGTTTACAATCACTGATTGTCAGTCAGGGAAATGAACAAATTAAAGGAAGGTAGGGTGGTCTTAGCCCTAGTTAACCCTCTGGTAATTTATTTGTCTGCCTGTTTGATTTCTGGCAGGGGGTCAAAGCAATACAGAGGTGTTTTATCACTAGAACTACATTTATGTCCACCCAAGTAACACAACAGTTGGCTTTGAGAACTAAAATTAACAAACTCAAGTATCAATGTATGTGTACCAGCCATTATACCACAGGAGCTATCATAACTGAATGAATGAGTGTTATTTTGGTCTTGCTGGCATAGTAAATGTGCTGATGGTAGTGGGGTTTCTACTGTAAAGCCTAAGGAATCAAGAGTAACACCAGGTCCATAAAATCTGTAACTGCTTTGCTCCAAAGCCACATGAGCAGGTCTAAAATATTTCCCCGAAAATACAAATATTTAATGGTTCATATAATAATTTTTTCATTCAGAGACACTAAGACACTAAAGACTTCTCAAGGGGAAGAAGAAACCGGAGTACAAATCAGTTAAATATTCTGAGAAAGGTTTTGAACTAGATTGGAGTTAGTGCTATTGGAGAATATTTTCTGTTTTTCCCTATGCTGGTCCTGAAACTAACATGTATAGATTTAGGTTTGTAAATCCAAAAAGCTTGAATGCTTTATAGTGACTGATAGTCCTTTATGTAGTAGAATGATGCTTTCTACTGTATATATGTTTGTACCTGTTATTAGCTTTCCTGTCTTGTTTTTCTTCATGTATTCCAAGGCATATAGCCATGAGAATTTTCTGCATATATCAAGTTTACAGTCTTCAATTGCCAAAAGAATGTCACAGTCTTTGTTGTGCTCCATGCATGCATGAAAGGAGTGCATGAGTAAACATGATACCTTTCCATTTGCAGTTGTCTTTTGGACAAACCTAAAATAACTTTTGCCCTCAAGGGCAGATGTTGCAGGATCCCATGGTCCTGAAGTGCCATTCAGTATTATACAGACTCAAATTCATTGAAAACACGTTTATAGTGAAGAGTAATGGAAGATGCAAAGTGGCCATGGTACAAAGCCCACTGTGGTGGATGTTACTGAATTCTGTGATGCTAAATGCATGTCCCACCTCCCCCTTCCAGATTGGGCCTCTCTGCCCTTGGGTTTATGTCCTGTAACACTTAGTTCATCCATATTTCAGTCACACTCCAGATAAATATCAAGCAATCATACGATACTGTTTCCTGAAAGCACATTTCAGTTATGAATTTTGTGAAATTGCTTTGTTGTTTTTTGTTCCCTGAAAGCTAGAATCAAATACAAGTAAGACTTATTCTGATAAACTTCCAGGAAACATTCAGGGAAGAAAGAAAAAAAGCAGAGCTCTCTTTGCTGTTGCACAGACTGTAACCATGGACCTGCGTAAACAACTGGAGAATACTGAGAGGAACTGGAATAAAGAGAAGATGGAATTGCTGGAGAGATTTGACAATGAAAGGAAAGAATGGGAATGTCAATGGAAGATCATGCAGAAGAAAATAGAAGAGGTACTTCTAAATAAAACTCTGAGCACTACCATTTTCACTTGGGGTGAAGTGACATGGAATCACTTCAATTTTTTTTTTCTAAATTTTATCCTGTTTCTTATGTCTCACTGGAAGTTTCTAATAGCTAGGATGAAAAACCTGGAATTAAGCAGTATTTACAATTGCTCATTTAACAGTCAAGAATAAAGAGCAGCGGGTGAAATGTCACTTTGTTTGCGATGAGATTGTTGGCTGTACATACTGCTGCCAGTTCTACTGGGCATGAGCCACACTGCCTATATTATACAAGTTTTTTCAAGTACATACTGAACAGTATGGAGTTTAGGAAAATACATATTTAGTAACAAAAAAATCTAGGTATCATAATCTGGCAAAAAGGAATCATATGGCAATGTCTGCTGGGGTAAATGGTAATATTAAAAAGAATACGTATTTTAAATGCTGCATGATACAGAATCATTCTGGCTAGAACCTGTTCCATTTATGGATGGCTTTTTGGAGAGGAAACAGGTAAAGTAAATAGCATGAAAGTCCTGACACCACTTGTGTTTACACATACTAACAAACACTCGCTCCCTGCCATTTGCAATGCATCTCCTTCCAGAAATAGTTATGGCAATTATTTATTATTCTTTTATCCCCAAATTGTCCCTGCAGCAGAACCCTGTGGCACTATAATGCATTAACTGAGTCTGTTTGGCTACGTATAGAGGCAAGTTTTTTCATTAGTGAACTTTTCACATTTTTCATCTAATATACACATGGAGTAGTTTTTTCTTACTCTCTGCCAACGCTGTCCTGTGGCTGAGCAACACAGGAATGTATGGCAGAGATTGCTGACATGAAAGTATGAGAAGTAAAATGGTCAGAGCCAAAGGAATTACAGGCATAAGGCATACACTGCCCATTAAACAAGCCTGCAGCTTAACTCCATAATGTCAGCTTTCTTATATTTTACCTGCAATTCTTACTTGCAGACTTTAATATGATGGTCTCGGCCACATTTTTCCTTTTGTGTTAGGACTTTTCTGTGGAGTCGTACCTAATTTCACTGCCAAGGTGAGAATACTCCAAAAATTAGTAATGTGATCTGTATATGTAGTTGAATTTCATTTTCTTAGGTATATGAAGCGTTTTGGAATGATGGTAATGAAAAGGTATTCTAGCTATTAGTAGTTCTGACAATGTCAACAAAGACTGTTTTCATCATGTTCTTTATCAGCATATGGATTAGGAAAGCATGACTGAGACAGAAAAAGCGATAAAGAATGGAATGGGGCTGAGGGGAAGAGAATGAAGCAAATTGCTGTGTACTGCAGGACCAGACAAACCTGCAGGTGATACCGCACGGTTACTGGTAATCTAAGGTCTCCTCTTAAGATATGTCATAGCTGCTCTTGATTTCAGTTACCTGACATTTCTTCTCCAAAAGCCACATGCCTGGAGAAAAGGGGAGATAGATACCTTTTAAATGCCATCATCTGTAGAAAGATTTCCTCAATAAAATTTTCGCTACCTTATCAGCTTGTATTTTTATTTGGTAGTTTTCTCTAGCCCATCAAAACCTAACTTAATTCCTGGATTCCTCCAGGAAGACTTGTGTGGTATAGGAGATGATATTATAGTTATGGGATGGTATCCTTCCTTCTTACTGCTATACTGAATCCATATGAAGCTCTCAATTTCTTGGAAATGGCAAAGTTCAGCCTTCAGTTTCCATGAGCAGCTGGGCTTTGGAAGTGAAATCTGAAAGCCCAGGATGAGGTCAAGTGTTAAGTCTCTGAACGTGAGAATACTTGTCATCCACAGCACTACCCATGAAATAGCCACATGTTCTTCATGTTATTCTTTTTCACTGTCCTTTCAAAAGCTGTTGTGGTGGCCTCGTGCACTGTGAGAGGGCAGGCAGATGGCTGTTCAGAGGTGCCTGCTCTGCGCTTTCTTTGTAAGAGCAAGTTAAGAATGAAGGTTTATAAAGAGCCATGGGATTCTTGGCACTGGGAATTATACTGTAAGCAGAAGAGATTTTTATGATGTTGCTATTTTTTTCTAATGTATAATTTATCACGGTTCCTAGTTTGAATGGGCTGGACGACAGGAATTAACACTTTTTCATTTACAAATGAAGCCACTGGATCTCAGCAGATAGCATGAAAGAAGAGTGTGGCAGTGCATTGCCAAATAATACTATTCTGCAGTACTGATTTATCACTCCAGTCAGAGGGAAGAATTCCACTTGCCTGAGAACCAGAAAAGTCTGCTATAGTGCAGATGGCACTGTATTTGATGTGAATTCACTTCCTCTCCTTCAACTAATATACTTTATTAGGCTGTAACATAGCCAGAACCCTCTCCCTCCCTCACATTCCCCCACATCCCCTATCCATCAGGTCAGGGCTGTGTCCACCTCAAGTGCAATAAGATTACTTGGAAGACAACCATATGGCTTCCAGCTCAAGACAGGGCCATTGATCTCATGAGATCTCTTCCAATTCCAACCATGGTTAAAACCATGGCAAAGAGTTTGTGGATGGTAACAACCCTTTCCTTGTCCAGTGACAATAATGGTGTGTGAGCTATTACACTAGGTGACTCAGCACTTTTCTACAAACACATGTATAAAAACTTTCCAATCAGTGCTACTGAGTGAAGCATTGTTAACAGCAGAAGATAAATATGTATTTTACCATAAAGTTCATTAGAATACCATGATTTAATAGAAGGTTCTATTGTTTTTTCAGCTCTACCAGGAGGTAAGACTTAGAAGGGAGAGCAATATGAACGTCCGTGATAACAATGCCATTCAGAGCAAGATGCTGCAGCTGTCTATGCATTCCCCTACTTTGCAAGAGAGTGACACAGTGGAGCTGAACTTTCAACACAATATGGAAAATGACAAAATGGAAAAAGGGAGTTTGCTCAGTAAAAAAGGACACGAATGTAAAGAAACCAGAGCCAAGAGCAGAAACAATACTCTGTTAATGGACAATCTGGCCTTTGAGAACCATGAGGAACTTGAAGACAGCCACAGCACCAAATCTTCCAAGAAAAATACCAAGAATTATATTGGTGATCTCAATGTAGTAAGTAAAGTATGAGCATGTTTCAGTTACAAGGGTGAGGAAAATACTGAGGACTTTGGGCTGCCAGGTTAACCTAAAGAACTGATCTCCCTGGTTTTAGCTTTCCAGCAAGTCACTACTTCCTCCTCGGTTGCTATCAGTGAGTGTCCTCTCACTATTTAAATGTGTTAACAGCATGCTCTTTACCTCTCTTCCTACTGTGGGGGCATTTTTGTATTTTTTCTTGTGCCACTTTCCTCTGCTGTGAGTCTGAAATGCGAATGACCACAGGTTTCAAAATAATTCTGGAGATACCATTTAAAACACTTATATTAAAGGACTGTTTTTATATTTATAAAGGCTCTTAAAGAACTTGCCAGAGTCAGTGAAGAATTATGCAGCTATCAAGAAGAAATTCGAAAGAGGTCCAACCACAGAAGGTAAAAACATATTTGGAATTCTTATATTAGAGGAAGAAAATTAATAATGAGACTGTACTCCTTTTGCTGTTCACTTTGAAGCTGGGTTTGCTATTGGATTTATTAGGAGTTGGGCAGTTCCTACCATCCTACTGTTTCAGTGCTCAGCATAAAACATTCAAATTAAATTTACTGAAATATGATAAAAGAGCGTGTTTTATTAGCAAAATGGAGTTTTTCTCCAGAACCTACAAATTGAAATTAGTATTTCTGTGAGATGAAATTATACTTGTTTCTAATGGCTATATGGAGGATTTGCAAAGTGAACAGATAGTTCTATCTGCCCTGATCCCATTTTCATGCAGTTCTCTACAACACTGTATGTGTTTGTCAGGCTGGGAAGTTTCTTACTTAAAGCCCAGATCTAGCCATAAGCATGGGGGATATATCAGGAACTGACAACTCAAGAGTACAAAGAAGGCAAGAGAAGGAAGAACCCCATACATTTGTACTAATGGTGAGATAGCAAGTCAGCCCCTGAAAGGTATGGCAAATGAACATTCCACTATCTGTTAAAAATTCAATATTTGTGGTCTTCTTTAGCAAGCTAAATACCAGTCTTCTTCTTGAGTTGTGCAGAAATTCTCAGGTAAGACTGAACTGCTGGTGTGATGGGGTGCTCATGAAAGAGATTGAAAAAGGCTGTCGCAGCTATGCTGACATCCCATGGAAGTGTGCATCGTGGCAAGCTCTTCTCAGATGCTCCCAAAGAGAAGAGGGGCTTCTTACACTCCCCCATGCCGTCAGTTGGCTGTCTGTCACTAGTTTATTATTGTAGCTAGGCTAGTGTTTGTATCTTTAAAGCAAATAGATTCATAGCTGATGTGTAGATTCTAAAGGTGATTTTTTAACATATCTCAAAAGACATTTTTACTGTCATGTGTAAGGTTAGGAAACCTATACAAGGGAGGCACTGTGTCCCGAAGCTTGCTTCAGTCAGTTTATAATCAGGTAGATTCATGGGAGTTATTAGAACTCACAGGATTCCTCTGTCCTTATTGTAGGATAGGTAAGAAAATGAACAATCATCTGAAAAACTCAGGAAAAGAATTTTAGTGGCACAGGGAAGGAATACAAATTCCTTGTTTTGATCTTTCTTCAAATTCTTCATGTGTGTTTCAGTTATGCTGGGTGTATCAGCTGCAGCAAAACTGCTCCCAAATCTCTTTAAGCAGCCAGTGTTAAAACGCCTGCTCATGGGGGAATGAATCCATGATGAGGTCCCCTGGAGGGATCCTTATTGCTCGTCCCTAAAACACTTCTCCTGTTATTTCCAGAATGAAGTCACTTCCTTTCCTGGGGGAATTTGAGGAAACCCAAAACACGGTTATTCTGCCTGAGATGAACCATGTGTCCAGCAATGAATCACAGACTTCAGTTGCTTTTGAAACAGAGGAACACAATAACAGGAAGAATCTGATGAGCTCCACCAAGGCTTTGAAGGACATGTCTTATGGTGATCTTACTGGTGACACAGGAACAGACTTCAGACCTTGGCAAATGAAAGAAGCTCCACCAGTTCCTCCACGGAGCACTTCTCGGCACCTAACAAACTCACTTTCTGCAGTTGTACAGCTTTCTGAAGCACCAGTAAGAGACTCAGGCATCAAAAGCAATTACAAGGTTCAGGACTTTTGGAGTGGAGGGAAACTGAAGAATTCTTCACCTGTAAACAAGAATGAATCTGCAGCAGCCTGTGCAAATGAAGGGCAGGCTGTGAAAGTTCCTGTGATGGTAACTGCTGCGGTACCTGCAACCAAAAATGAGTGCAAAGTTCCAACAAGTTTCTGCCATAACACATGGGCATATGATGTGGTCAAACTTGGGAAAGACAACAGAAGTGAGCCTTTCCAACTGTCAGCCCAAAAGAGTTGTTCAGATGGAAATATGGCCCAAAGCAACAAGATGCACCAGAAACAAAACCCCAAGTCTCACAGCAGCCCTTTTTACAGTAATGACTTCTGTACCCCCGCTACCCTGCACAGTGACCTTTTGGAAGACACCAGATATACTTTGGGAAAGACCCAAAGAAATGAAATGTTAGCAGCAAAGATCGATGAGTTTAATCGGACTGTATTTCACACAGATAAACATAACAATGCTCTGCAACAAAACCAGGTGCCTCAAACAGCATCAGAAGATCACAAATCCTGTGAGCCACTGTGTGAGTCTGCTACTAGCAGGACAGACACTGTAAATACGTCTTGTATTTCAAATCCCAAACTCTCTGGAGCCAAGGAGCAAGAAGCTAGCAACCCCAGCAAAGCTGTCAGGACAGCAGGGCAACAAAAACAAATGAATGGACTTCCAAATACTAGTGGTTATAGGCACATGCTCCAGGAGCATGACTGGAGACCAAGTAATTTATCCGGTCGCCCGCGTTCAGCTGACTCAAGGTCGAACTATGGTGTTGTTGAAAAGCTTTTGAAAACCTATGAAAAATCAACAGTGACTTCTCCGTGTAATGCAAAATGCTGCAAAGATAAGTGGATACAGGCAAATTCTGAATTCACTGATGAGGGTTGCGAGAAACTGAGTCAGTATTTAGAAATTCTCCAGATTGAGCAAGAAAAGCAAGAATTTCCGAGGAATTCAGCCAAGCATATTGGGCAGCAACTCAAGCAAGGAAAAGAGAGACAGAAGTTACCAGAGGTAAGGTTCATAAGAATGGCAAGACCAGAAAAATTGTTTCATACCAACCCTCAGATTCTAAAATGAGGCAGGCTAACATTGTATTGTAAATAATTATGTAGAAATAGACATTTTAAACCAAGATCTGGATGAATCAGGAGCATTTCCTCTGCATATTATAGAGTTGTAGAAGGGCAGAGGCATATAAGTAAGAGTGGAGACATGCCAGATTTTGATCCCTGCTGCTGTTCCATAAAGCTGTATTTTAACTGCAATGCAGTTATGCAAGGATTGAACTAGTGAGAAGTGCAATCAGGTTTTAACCCCATCTTTCCTTCCTTTAGTTATTTCATAAGCCTTCTCAAAGGACTTAAGCACCCTTGTCCATGTCCAAAACCCTGGAGGTCTTAGATAGCATTCTTCAGCATCCAGGGTGCTGCTTGGTTCAGGATTTCATTGGAACTGCCTATGACAAGGGATATTGTAATTCCATAAATTTTCCAGTAATAAAGTGACCTCCTCTTACTCATGTCTCAGTACCAGCTTCTCCTATATATTCAAACATACACTCACAGAAACAGAAGATCATGGCATGACTAATTAATTTATATTTGGCTGAATTTTATTTGCAGAAGTTTAGAAATACTTCCTTTGCCAACATTCTTTCTTAATGAAGAGAGAAACAGATGGTTTGGAAAATATACTATAAATTGCAGGTTCTGTAAAAGTCCGCAAAGAAAGAAAAATATTTTTTCCTGAAGTGCTCCTTGGCCAACAAACACAGATAGATATGCCCCTTAGAATCTCAAAAAGGAGAAGGCAGGTGTGTTTTGAGCTGAGAAACTTAAATGGGTTCAGACTGTCAGCTGGTATGCTTTAAACTGTCACAAATTCACAGACTTCAGTGGAGCTATGTGGATTTAAGCAGCTGAGAATCTGACCATGCAGATTTTCTTCCACATGTCTTTCTGACAGCCTTGCAGTGAAGCAACATCTCTTACTTAGCAGACACATCTTTACTACAGCAAAGAAAGAAAAACCCATGAAGCTTACCATTTGTTTTTCATCTGATAAACTTTTGACAGGAAAACAATTTTTCAGCAATGGAGGAAAGAAATAATGACTAAATAATGACTGAATTTATACTGATGTAAGCCCAGAATAACTTTATTAAGCCAATTAGATTTTATTTCTCCATAGGCTCAGACTTTATATTGTCATTTCTATCTGAACAAACTAAATGTGGAATACTGCCTGATTAGGAGTTACCATTTTAGGTCCAACAGCATGCATGTCACAGAGCTGTAAAGAACTATATATGGCATGAGGCATGTGGTTTATGTTCATTATTTCCAATTCATATCACTGTAGCTATGATCAAAATCTGTTGGGTTTCCTAAAGCTCTGCAGGTAGACATAACACTGTATTAATATGTAAACATTAGTTACCAAGTGTGAACAGCTTCACACAGCACTAATGGAAACAGAGTTCTTAACAGACTGCTGAAATAGGATCTATCAAAAGATATCTGAAAAATATGTAGATCATACTTCAGTAATATAAGATGGTATTCTGAGTTCTATACTTAAAATAGTTTGCATTGTTCATTGACAAAAAAAACCTTCCAAAAATTAAAATAAATAAGAAGTAAATGTCAGTTTTGTCTTGCACTAACATTTTATACCTTTCCTTGTGTCTGACACTTGTCTCCATGTATTTTAGACCACAACTGATGTGAGAATCCCAGTACATAGAAATAGCTGTTCTTTTGCATTCTGTACATGACTGCACTCCTTTTAATAGCTTCCGACCACCTGTTCTGAGGTCACCACAAATGTCTTCCTGCATTCCCGCTGCATTCTGCAAAAGCCTTAACTTGTTAAAGCAAGGAATTGCCTTTGTGTTCCAGATCTGTGTGCCAGCTAAATGTTCAAGTGAGAAGGGTTTTTCCCGTCCCGCTCGGCCAGCAAATCGACGCTTACCTTCCAGATGGGCATCTAGATCCCCCTCAGCACCACCTGCTGTGAGAAGAACGGTGTACAACTGCTCTGTCTCCTTTCGGTCAGAGACCTCAGTAGTCTGAACCCAGAGCTGGGTTGGATGGTGTTGTGAAAGCTCTACGCCTCATTATAACTGTGTTTGGTATGTGTCATAGCAACCAGTTCTACACTGTTGTATTTTGTCCAAGAGTGACCCCCACCACGTGCTGGACAAAGCATTCTGAATCTTAGGTCATCATCACCGTGGTCTTCAGTGTTTTTATTGAGATGAAATAACTATACCCCTGGTTTTCTCTGGGTTTTTTTTGGTAGTAGTTCACAAGGAATTTATTTTGAATGGCATCTTCCTTAATTTGCCAATCAATTTTGAGTCAAAACAATGTATAGTGCTGTATATTCTGACTCTTCTGCAAACAGCAGAACGTAAAGCTGTATGCATGATCATGTGTTTGTAGGTGCATGTGTTGGACTAGGAAGTATACAGGCCTGTACTTAGAAGAGACAAACTGTGCTAGTGTTGACATTGAAATTGCAACCTATATGCCTACGTATATATATACTTCATGTTTATTTTAAGAAGTTTGAAATATACAGTCCTGATGACATTTATATTTTGTATATCTTTTACATAGGTTCACAGGCGTAGTATTTAATGTAAAAAATACTTAAATATTCATTTTTTGTGACTGATTGCAGCGATAATGCCTTGCACAATATGTATCTGAAGCAGACTAGCTCGACTGATTTATCAGTCATGCTTCATGGCATACTCGTTCGGTTTCCTAACCCTTATGCTAGGTCAAAATACCCAAACATATTTTTTTCTGAATTAAAATATTATATGATTTGTAATATGTTAGCCTTTTTCAGCACCAGAGACATTTCTGAAATGTTCCAATCCCTTTAAAAAGCTTAAATGTGCCATTTTATATATAGCATACTGTAAACACTTTGGTAATTTCAACTACTGTAACATACAATTTATGAAGGGAAGAAAAGGGTTATATATGCTCAATTCTGTAAAACTTATTTTTCCTTCTAGCATTATACTTTGAGGTTTGGCAAAGTCAAATAACAATGGACTTGTTTACTTTCACTCAAGGCAGGAGAACAAACACCGCTGTACCCAGTGCTGCAGCCACACTCCTCTTTTACTCTTCTCCTAGACTAGAGTGCCTGAGCCACTTGCTCATTTACTGTTCCCCGACTGACTCATGGCAGTCAGTTACAAAGTTTACTTGCACTCTGGCAACAAGCTGCATCTAGTACGGAAATATTGCATCGAGGTATGATCACAATTGTGCCCAAAATCGTAGACACGTGGCGTTGCAAGTATGTTTTTGCCATCACTTGACTTGGTATTATGGACCATCTGAATGACATGCACAGAGCCTGGCTTGTTCCTTCCCACAGTGTGAGAGAAACATGGATGCTTCTCACACTCTGAACTTTCAGAAAGACAGTGTCTGTTATCCTGGAATTTTTGCACCCTTTGGTAGGCTGTTGCTGGATGCATAGTGCAGTAATGATGATAAATGTTACCTTTAAGTAGCATGTCTAGGTTAAAAGGAGTAAAGAGGCACTTCTTCAACATCAGCCTGATCTTGTCTTACAACTTTTCTTCTCCTGGAGAAACATAGGATGTTCAAAGGAATTTCAAAAATCATCCCAGGATCCATTAATGTGCACATCTTATGTGAATGTAAAAAGGATTTGAGAGAGAGTGTAGGCTTTTGTCCTAGTGAATTGTATATGTGGCAATATAGGGAAAATTAATTGTGCTTAATTTGGTAGTGATCTGTTGTCCTATTCCAGTCATGTTGAGAATTCACGCCTTTTTCCTTCCTTTTAGGACCTTATTGTTCTTTCCTCTACACAGCTTTGATTTTGAAGAAAGAGAAAACAGGAGGCCATGTGTTCTGAGCAATATAGCCTATATGGTAGCATCAGTAACTGTTTGGGCTTGCCAATATTAGAACAAGCAGGCATTAGAGCGCTAAATCCCACCTTGTCATGCCATTGTGGCTGTCTGCTTGGCAAAACCATACCCAGAGTAATTTGCCCTGTCTAGACTTCTGGTCCTTTCTAAGTCTATCTCACTAAAATATATGAAGACTTCAAGCCAATCAACAATTCATCAAAATTTACTCAGACATTGCGAAGTTCTTGCTGGAAAAGATACAAGGACAGAAAATCTTGAGGAAAATTTATACAGTTTGGATGGAGACAAAAGTCTGTGTGCTTAAGTGAAAAATCAAGAGTTCTATAAATTTGCCTGCTTGCCCTAATTTAGAGATTGCACTCCATTAACTTCCTTAGCACTAAAAAAATTAGAGATGATTCGCAGTAAATTTGGAACATGGCTTAATATTCTAACTGGAAATTAGCAAACCAAAATGCCTTGAAAATTGACCTTTTAATGCCTAAGTAGCTGACCAGCTTTAAATGCCTAAGGCCGAGGAAAGAGTAATATGAAAGAATTGTAAAAAAATGGTTCTTCATTTCAGTCAGAGATGACTGCAATAACACTCTTTAAATTACCTCTAAGGTAAAGTTAAGCAGTTTTGTTCTGAAAAATGGTGGTGCAGTTTTGTTTTAAGTATTTAACTATGAAAGCATTTCCCTTGATTAGTCAGTGAAAGTGTTTCTTTTGTTCCCTTCAGTTTCTTTGGTTGCCTTTGACATAGACCACATTGTTGAATAACAGAGAAAGGATCAAATATCGACAACATTCCCTGATGTATGTAAGTTTAATGAACAGAAGGTTTTTGAAATAAACTAATAGGTCAAGTACAAGTTCATTTTGTCAAGGTTTTCTGTGTCCGCCTAATTACAGACATTGATTCTGATGCCCAAAAGTATCAATACTGGTGATTTTGGTTTGCAGGTGGCTAGTTGGACATACTAATTTTAGAAAGTTGCCGCTGTCACTGTTTAAATATTTTTTTCAGCTGCACTCATAACAGGGCCAGTGGACTGTGGTGATTTTTCTAGTTCCCATAACTGTGATTACTGAACCACAGTAATGGCTTTATTCACTTATTTGCTTAAGGGGAAGAGCTCCGTTGGGCTCTGTTCCCCTGCATTATTTCTGAAAAGGAAATCTACACATACACACACATTCATGCAAGAAACATAAATGATCTAAGTATAACTTGACCTTCCTATTAATCTTAGTGTCACCTATGGAAGTGGTGAGTTTTGTAAGCCTGTTTTAATATTATTCTTCCATATGCTGTCTGAAGTCTTAATGCAGATATATGTTTTTCTTACTTGCACTCTGAATGAGTCTAAAACTCTATTGCGTGCTTGTGGACCTTAGTAACTCTCTGCAGACACAGTCAGCTGCCCATTGAAATAGGGATGCCACTAGGAATCAGCTGGCTGGTACTCAGTTGACAGAAAGCATCATTCTCCTTCATGCTGGGAGATGGAGCCATAATTGTTCCTTGAAATTGAATTGTTCGTTTCAGGGAGGAACATGGCAGGGTAGAAGCACATAGAGTAGAATAATTTAGACCTTATCTGCACATCTACAGAGCAGGCCACCTGGAGGCTTTAAAACTGGCTTGACTCAGCCTCTGCTAGAGGCAGAAGGAGTAGAGAAAAAGAATTTCCTTTAAGACCCCTCTGTAGCATTCCTCAAACTCAGAGTACATTTCCACTAGTGTTTTGTCTTTACAGTGTTAGTGATAGACTTCTTATGTATCTTTAAAATGTTGCTGAAGAGATGAACTCTGCTTGTTCTCCACCAACAACAGAATTATCTTTCACTATTACACATACACATACTGTAAGGGAGTTGGCTGTTATGTATAGGAAAGAATTGGCAATCAGTGTAATATAATTTTCCAGAGCATTCAAAATACCAATCTATTTCTCCAGTTGTTTATTTAAGAAATTGTTTCTGTAAATAGGGATTTTGTATCCAAATGGCTTCAACAGCATTTTAGCAAAGATCTACAGCAATACAGAAAGCAGGACATTTCCCTTAGTTTTGTTATTTCTGGACTAAATTTCCTAGCATGCAAGAACTTATGCAATTCTCACAGTGCTGCTAATGCAAAGAATTTCTTTGGCTTTGAGATATGTAACATACAACTCTAGCCATTATACTGCTGATATTCTCTATTGGACTCATCTGTAAGGGTGAATTTGGTTGTGTTCATGCTCTTTAAACTGAAAGGTGGAATGCATTTGCTCTAAATGCGCTAATCAAAGCCCCTTGTTGCCTCTCTGGTCTTTCCACCCCTTCTCAATTTCCAGTGGATGTGTATTTTTATGTGGTTTATTGCCATTGATGTGTATGTATATGTCATACCATAGGACTTTCTATCTGTACTGCAGCCAAAATATGTTTTGAACAGCCTATTCTAAAAAGTTCTGATATTACTACTGCCATTCACAAAAACATTAGATCTTGATCTATTGTTTTGCATCACTGAAAACGCACTTTCTTCATCAACTGTTAGTGGCATATATTACACAAAACTATTTTTTGAAGTTATATTTAAGCTGCTTTTGAAGTTTGATTCTACCCCTCCCCCTTGCATCTTTTGTATTTGCAAAGTGCTTGCATCAGCAGAGACACCTTTCTGACCTGTAGAGTGGATGCAGTTGCTGTGTGGCTGTGGGAGCTCATGCCTAAGGGAGCCTTGCTAACTATGTTACTCTAAAAAGTATTGTATCAGAATTTCCATGGGGTAAGAGAGATTGAACCTTCAACATGATCAGAGTGAAAGTGTGGTTTATGCCTTTTCTCTAGTACCTGCAGTCTGCAATATTTCTGTTTAAGGGGCCAGAGTTTGTTTCCTCCTAGTGGTGCATGTCTGTGTGTGTATGGCCAAGATGTACTGAAAAATGACACTATAGGGGAGTCCATACATCTTACACTTTTAAATCAGATTATCTAATGTGTAAGCCCAAAATATTCCTCTCTATTGCATGAGATAATGTTACCCTGTACTACAGAGTAGATTTGATCCCAATATGAATTGGGGGAAGAGAGCAGACACTGCACAGATAGGCCTAAAGTATGTAATACAAGCAACTAAGCTGTGCTGGCTGATGTTAAGGGGTGAGCTAATGGGGTGAGGTGACTAGTCACCTCATTAAAGCCAGAGGTTCTTTAATACTAGGTCTCAGTGGATGCATAGACTTCTGCTAACCTGCTAATGTGTCACAGGGATTGTAATGCTGAGAAGCCTGATTTTGATTGCTCTTCCACCTGGAGGGATGCTACTTGCCTGTGGCAGATGTGCCTACATAGTCTTTTACCTGTGCCCCTTAAAATTCCGTAAGGTAGTTTACTGCAGCTAGAAGAATTTCTAAATCATAATCACAGTAGAAAAGGACTTTCATTAAAGAAAAGTGCATTTATATGTGAACTCTGTGAACATGACCACTGCCAACTGTCATGGTGACACAGAAAATCAGATTGAGTTTTACTGCTGTATCATGAGATATCTGCAGCAGGTCAGCTGTTCTGGTACCATATATGATGTAGAGCTGCTTAAGATATTGTTGTTGGAAGCGCACCACAGACAGATATGTGTGTACATACGGTCTGCTTGTTTCTTTGCAGAATCTTTCTAGTTTCCACAAAGATATTCTGTTTGTTTTGGGAGTTTGGGAATTTTTTTCTCCAAATTTACCTGAAAGCAATTGAGCTACCCAAGTTATTGCTGATAAGAAGTCTCATAGGTGTTCTTCCAAAACCAAAATATCTACTCAGAGAAGTAGCTGGCTACCAAAGGAGGTAAGATGGTAAGATCTAAGTTGAACAAGCCAGTTCACAAACTGGCTCATACGCTGTTACATGTCTGTGTACACACACACACACACACACACATCTTAGGAACTTATCCTCCAGGAAATCCCACATGTCCAAGGCAGCTGGTTTTGCCATATGACACTATGTACTGCATATAGGAGTACCATAGTCACACACATAGTACATACAGAAAAATGATGTCTAATACTGTATGTAAACAGACTCCTTCCAAAGAATGGTGCTGAAATGCTTTACATTAAAAACAGCATGTGACTTAATGAGATCCAGTAGGTTTTGAAATCCCACTTTTATATAAGTAAATGCAATCAAATCTTTTAATGAAAGAAACATGCTTATGCATGTCACTTTTTCCTTCCAAATATTTCAAGCCTGTCTTACAGCTCTGATCCTAATTTTGCCTCATGTACTGCAGGGAAAAAAAGAAAAAAGAAGGGAAGTGGAAATAGAGATAGTCAGAAAAATCCTCTGTCAGTGCCTCTAGCTTAGGCACTGAAAAATGACTGGTACTGGTCTCACTGTACATGGATGAGACTTTGACAGCTTATTATTAAACAGTATTGACCATGAAAAGAAGATGATCTTCCATTTCTCCTCTCTGTAGTTTTATTCCTTCCTTCCCTCTCCTTCCATCAGGAGGTTACAATTCAGCCACCTAAGGAGAAGTAGGCCTGGTAAAAAAAGCTGTGTGGAAGCTTCTCTTCACTTTCCAGCTTCTCTTCTGCAGGCCTCCAGACCTGCAAAACACATCATGTTTGAGACGATGTGAGAAGCCAGAGAAAGATGCTTTTTAGGGTCTTTCTGCAACAAGCACTGCATCAGCCAGTTTGGGGCTGAACAGTTTCATGGGATTTTTTTTGCAACTGTAGTGTAAAAAAGCTTTTTCCTCTTCTGTGCAGGAGTCTGTCTTTAAACCACCTCTTGGATGGATTTCTGCAATTTTAATTCATTTTACAGCAAAATTTCACAGCAGTTGGGACAGAAAGTGAAGAATTCGTCATTCTCTATTGGAAGTTGGCCAAAAGCTGAACCAGATGTACAAAGGGCCAAGACAAATTTAAAACTGTTTAAAAATCTTCAGCCAAAGTGATCTGCAGTCAGCCCACCAAGGTTTTTAGAAGTCAACTGTCTCTTTAAGCTTGATTCTGGGAAATAAACCAACTTGTTTCTGCTGTAGTGAGTGGAAAGTGGATGATGAAAGTAATTTGCAACATTCAGAAATGAAGATAACAGTACTCTGGTGATTTAAGTAGCTTTATGCTGTTTGCACAGCCTCCTATGAGGATAGATATTCTGATTTTCCTAGGATGCCATTTAGTGCCAGCCCGCATGTGTTTTGGTCTAGTCTGCTGTCTCATAGGGGGTATACATTTATATATATATATCTGGAAGAACCAGGCTGATGTAATGCTGGAGCCACCATCTCTGTGATCATTTGAGAAACATTTGAGAAAATCAAAGCTCCCTGATTCAGAGTACCTGCTTTCCTTTTATGTCTGTACACACACAGATATGTACTCATCACATGGACATATACACTGATCATTTTTTTTTTCTGCTTCTGTCTTGGTTTTGCACTGTATGGAAACCAAAGTGAGGCCTCTTACAATCGGTCTTAGCCAAAATGGAAGAAAGAGGGGTGTGACGCTGGACTTGGGACCCCAACAAAAATCCCAGTGAAAGGAAGTGTTGAGACATTTTAGGGTAGGGAGTTGAACCAAGTCATTTACCATTCATTTCAGCTACAGCAGCCTAATCCTTTCTTATGCTATTTTGTTCAAACATTATAGATTTTACTCTGCCTTTACAGGGCCAGCGTGAGTATATTTATGTTTTTCCCTACCTACATTGTCCTGTGATTTGGAGAAAGACAGGCTGTAGAAAAAGGACTTCAATTAACAGTGAAGATTTCCCCAGTTCAGGAATATTGGATTTGCTTCATTCACTTGGCACACAGGGGTCAAATGTAAACTATGTCTGACAGGAATATATTGGAAGTTGG